CCTCCTTGGATTGACTATCAAGAGGAAAGTTCTTTTTCTAAAGAAATCAGGTCAAATCATTTTGCCTGCCTGTGAAAACCAACTGCCTTCCTGCTGAAAATGTTATTAAACCCCTGTGTTGTACTGTTCACTGCTATAAAAAGTAATCTGATGGTGTAACTGGGTAACTTCCGTACGGAGCTTATATAATTGACTGGAAAGTCAATACAGGTCTGCAAAAACTCTTGGGTTTTCACATTACTTATCTTCTCTGATCTATCTGTATGCTGATATTATTATTAGAATCTTTTCCCTTTGGCAACTTAATTATCACGACCAAAATAATATTAATTTAGTGCAGATCTCTAGTTAAATTATGTGGAGGTATACATAATAATACTTGTATGAATAAAATGATATTTATTTGGAAAAGAGGGTAGCTTTTGAGCAAACAGTTGTAGTTAATTGTAGTATCCTTAGCAAATCAAATTGAAATTGCTGAAGGTTAACGTTCCAACCTTAAGATGAGGAAATTTTTCTCTCAGATACACAGATTTTTACTAAATCTATTTTTACTGTTAACACTGTTACATGTATTATAAGATATAATTCACAAGACAGATGTCCGGAGTCTTTTGCATGAATTTATGTAAATATGTAAACTGTGACTATCAGTTCTAAAATCAGTACTTCAGTTTAATAGCTTCAATCAATACTAAATGTATACAACATGTAGACAATGAATCCCTATGTTATCATTCAGTTGGTAATCATTTTATCTACTTCAGATAAATGATTCCATTTTTGTTAGGATGAATAACTTCTTCTATTCAGTGCTTTGACAGGATTGATGAAAGAGATAATAAATACAATAGTAAAAGACCTAATGAAAAATTCATTGTCTGGAATACTGTCTGAATGACTTCCTGTTCTTCCTTTAGTGCCAGTTCCTGATTCAAGAATGCCAGATGCTTGTTTCAAAACCCAACTTTTCCTCCATTCTGTGTTATGCCATTGAAACACCGGAGCACAAGCAGCGCACCTTGAGACCTTCTGCTCAATTGCTTCCGAATATCAGCAGAGTTTTGAAGCTAAACAAAGTGCAAGAGGTAGGATTGACGATATGAAAGGATTTTCCTTAAGTTAAGATTCAGATCGGGTGCTTAATTATTGAACAGTCATACATAAACTAAATAATACAATCTGAGAAAATTATTTAATCTGAATCTTTTATCCTCTGTTTATAGATCTATGTTGTATTTAACGATTAATATTCCTCAGAACAATTTTGCAATTCAAAAATAATACATGTAGCTTGTGTTGGATACAAGGTGATACACCGTAAATAAATAAATTAGGTGCTATGTACTGAGTTTGCTATAATTCATATCCTATTGATCTAGGGCAGATGGAATAACTGTTTCATTAGATTATTCGCACAACTGGATAACGTGGACATTTCAGTTTGATCCAAACAAAGTGATGGTGTGAAAATTTGCAACTGGTTTTCACAGGCAGGCAAAACTGTTTGCACTGAACATCTGTATAATAGCAAATTTCCTTTAGATGGTCAAACCAGGTTGGCAAAATTGTCCTCACAGCCAGTAAATTTGCTAGGTGCCTGGTGCCCAACCCTTAATGAAAACTCTACAAACAGGAGTAACTTACTAGATATTTTGGTGAAAGTATTCAGTGATTCTTACATTGCATACATGTGTACATGTATCTATTGCTTTATATTAAACGTGTAAACCACATCAGGAATAAAATAAATAAACATTAATTTATACAGTACATGATCATGTATTCAATTATTATTCAACAGCACCCACTTGCCACTGTAGTTTAAATTTTGTCATAGACCAAAATACTTGCCTGATCTGGAAAGTAAATTTTTGGTGAATTCTGGAAAATAAGTTTTGTACAGGGTTAAGTGGAAACTGCATGTTCAACTTCATGTATTTGAAATAAAATTTAGTAAAACAGACCTGAGACAATAGTTTCTTTGTAAATCACAAAAAGACAAATTTCTATGATCTATTATGGTTTTTTGTGATGACTTTGTGATGGTTAGATAGATTGAAAAATGTTTGTGCAGCATAGCATTCCATTTTGGCGAGTAAAGTTCAGAAATGAGTAATAAGATTTGAAATCTATTTTCCGAAGTGCAAAGGTGTGCTGAAAGGTTGTGTCAAGGTTTGAACATGCATTTTAATGTGCAGCTGTTGCATAGTATTCAATATGTTGTAAACCTTTCAAGTTATAAAATTAAAGTGAGTCTCTGGCAACCATTTAAATGCTTGCAGTCATTGTTTTGATTGACAATTTTGCATTAGCACCAGCTGCTATGGATCTTTTGATTATAAATTTGAAACCTCTCAGTAAAGGTTATTTATTTCCGTCAGGTAGGAATATATATATTTTTTTACCAGAAGAAGTAATCATCAATTTAGCCAGGAGAATCTCCACCTTGTCTTGAGAATTAAGGGGATACTGCACCAAACTAATTATTCCCTCTATATAAATAAAATGTGGTGTTTGAAGATAATTTATTAGTTGGTTGCTAAATGTACTTTTTAAAGATTGCCTTGCTCATGCTTGCTTTAATTTATTGTCTACTCTGCAGGTGATCTTTGGGCTGAGTCTTTTGAGTTCCTCAAATGAAGAGTTAAAAAACCATGGTATGGAGTTAATGTGGCCCACTGTTATTTGAAGATTTCTGAGTACTTAACGTTAAATTTTTATGGTGACTGTGCATGTTTTTTTTACATGTATGAATTTGTGAACACATTATTGGTTTTTGACATCCATTCTTGTTTTAAATTCAATTGTAGCTGGCCAGTTTGTGAAGCACAAGTTGCCTGATCTTCTGAGGTCATACATAGATGCTGGTAAGTCAAGTGCATTTAAAGTGGCAGGTTTTAAGTAAAAAAATGAAAATAATGAATTGCTTTGACTGTGTAAAATTGAGACAACATTCTTAAACAGCAGTTGTAAGAGACTGAATGTTTTGAATAAATTTGTAGTAAATTATTTATGAAATATATTTATAGATAAAGATAAGCTGTAAAATTTAGGGCTATCAAATTAAAAATGAAGAAAAAGCCAGTGAAAAAGTTTTCTTTTAAGTAAAAGAATTGCATCACCTAAACTTAGTGCCTTCAGTTTCACTAATCTCATTTCTTTTTTTGTCAGATGTTGGTGGTGTTCAGGAAGGAGGCCTCACTGACGTCGCCATAGAAGTGTTGCATCGTCTTCTGTCGCACGTGATCCATGGCGCAAGGGATCAGGTTGGAGTAGGAGATGACCAAGTGTCAGCCTTCATGGAAACACTGAGAAAAGGTTTGTATCGTAAATTACTTTTTGTGCATGCATGTGCAACACATATCTTCAAACAGGAGTATAAATGGGTCTTGGCAAACTGCTTACCACAGGGGAACCTTTTTGTGGTGGGATACTCCCGGTTCTTTCATGCCACAGAAGCCTAGAAATGTCCTGCATCTGGTGATATGTGACATGTTTTTTTCCCCAACCAGTGTGATCTTCCCATGTCTAATACTGTAGATTATGAAAGTGAATATCATTGACATACAAAAAGGTGAAATTAAAGAGGGGCAAAAAATTTTAAACCAAAAATAAATTCAAACCGTATCATAGATTGTCAGGTACGATTTGTAGCTAAACCTGGGTGACTCTGGGTGTTGATTTTTTAATTTTCCTCTTTACAGATTTTCCCAAAGAACGTGTGCCTGTTGTTCTTGCACCACTGCTTTATCCAGAAACCCAGGATATTTCACCAGAAAAGTGAGATTGATGTAACTGAAGAGTATCTTTCAAAAGACAGTCGACAGTTGACAGTTGATTCCCCTCGAAGTCACTTGTAGTTTGACTTAGCATTAGAAATGAAGTATAATTATCCTTTGCACTCTTACAATAAAACCTGATGAGGCTAGACATTAATATTGCAGGAAGTATTATATCAAGCAAGAAATACTGTGTTTGACCACATTCCAAATACTGAAAAGAGAGTATCACGCATAACAGGGTATTTTTGACAAACTTCAAGGGGTTTTGTAGTGTGGTCAAACACTGTCTTGAGTGTTTGATACACATTTATCTTAACGTCCCAGTCAAAACTAAAACTAAGGAGAAAATGGAGAAATAAATCATAAAATTCTTACTAACTAAGATTAGGTATCCATTGGAACACCTTCTCGGTTGTGGTCTCCTTTGTTTATTCTTGATGAAATATTTATGAGTTTGCGAATGTTACGGTATCAAAAAAATTATTTCTACCAGAGGTGTTATGAAACTGAAAGGGGAAAGCCAAAATGGGTGTTAATTAAAGATTAACAGCTGAGCTATAAAGAAACTCAGAATGTCTGCTTTGGACAAAGTCGCTCATTTATGACCATCTTCCACTTACATACATGTACCTACGTGTACCCTAATAACAATGCCTTCTGTGGATACTGTGGCCTACTTGATTTAATGTCAAGCTGAACACTTGAACGTATAATGTAAACATTCATCAGTCACAAAAAAATGTTATAAAAGCTGTAGAATATGAATAATTATTATAAATAATTTATAATGTTATTGATAACAAATATCAAATAAGAAAATGACTTGGCTTTAATTTCTCAGACAAAGTACATTTCACTTTCCATTATTGTTGCATGCAGTGCTATATAAGAAGTTGTAATAAATATTTACTACTGAAATATAGAAACATATAGACCTCTGTCATATTTTTCAGCTTAATTCCAGAGCCTTCGACTCCTTCAAAAATAGTGGTAAGGTGGTATAGATCTTGTAATTGTTAGATTTTAAAGATTTGTTATTTAAGAGCAATCTCTGTTACAGTACATACACAATTATTAACATGGTGTACATTTTGAATTGTGAAGTTTGCTTGATGAAAGAACAGATACCTGTAAATGATGACACATGATTTAAAATCTGTGCATTCAAAGCTTATTTATGCTGTGGAGTTTGGAAGGATACTGGTCAAGTAGGCTGTGCCAACAATGCATTTAAAATTTGCAAATTTACAGACATTTGTTTTCCTGTATGTGCCATAACCTTAAAAACATCTGTAAGTTAGACATTTTTTAAAAGAGGAATAAATTATTTTAATTATCTAGTTCAGTATTGTACACCCGCCTTTTATATTACAGTATTTGGTACAGTGACTAAAAATGGCATAGATGCTATCAAATTATACTTCATATCCTATCACGCCTGCAATTGTCAGAATTGTTTGTTTCAAAATCATTCTAACATGGAGATCATAGAACACCTGTTGTGAGGAAAGATCGCTATCAAAACCCAAGATACATACAACAGTTTTGTTGACATACATGTACATTTTGCTGCACAATGGTAGCTATTTGCTAACAGTTTTTTAGGTATAATTTGAGTAATTATCACCTATTTCTTAGTTCTGCATACTGTAGCTCAAAAATGGTGTTCAAACCAGTAGAGAATTTGCTAAAATGTAGCTGGAGAAAGAAATATTTTCTCTTGACATTAATTAAAATCATTATTTGTTTTATTATCAGATGGAAGATGAATTGGCTGATCTTATGCAAGAAATAGGGTATTCTAGTTGCTCAAGGTAGGATAACACATTCATTTGTTGGCATTCTTTTAGGGCTTTTTTTTACTTTTCTTATTGGTTTGTCTACAGATAAGGTCACCACTCTTTTCTTTCATTTTTAAATGCTTTGGTTGGTTAAGTTTGTCTCAAGTAGAGCAGTCCAAGTGCTTGCACTGTAATTGTTAGGCATTTTTTGTGTATTATTGTGTAATAAAATTATTGTGACATTATTAGTCAATGTACAGTTTCTAGCCAGAGAAGTTTAACTGTCATTTAGATTTTTTACAATTTACATTTATTTCTTCCCTTCAGTTTTGAAGAGTGTCGAAGTACCCTAGCTCAGTTTGGTGTTCAAGACATCACTCCAGCTGCAGTGGCTAGAGTTCTTGGTAAGAATTCTCTTTACTGATTTCAACACATTTCCCTTAAAGCTAGTTGTGAGAATTTAGTGGTAGATCAACACAGTAAATATAACTGTTCTCTAATACATTTTTGTCACCTTTATAGTAGTGAACAATGTAATTGAGAATGTTTTGAGAAGTTTAAGGTTGAACCCTAGTGATAATCACAGGGTTCAAGATTGATCTCATTTGTTCTTTATGTTCTTGCTTTGGGGGAGCTTTCACATGATATATACTCGAGAATACAAGACTTAACCACATTTATTAGTACAATGTGTATAAATAATGTATAGAAATAATTCTAAGGTTGAGTTTTTAATGTACAGTCAGTTAGCTTTGATCAACAATCTTGAGAGAACAAATGTACCTTTTCCTCCAAGAGATGACATGTATACTGGTTATTTAACCTGAAATAGTTTTTTTATTGAGTGTCAGTAAAACTATCCTTACTGATATTCTGAAAAGATAAAATTATGTTGTTTGTTTGTTTTAGGTATGATGGTTAAAACTGTGTTTGGCCTTGGTGAACATGTTAATATACAGGTAAGCTCTTACTTGTGTTGAGACAAGTAACCCTCAAGACAAGTTGCCAGTAACCCTCAAGAAAGGTAGTTTGTAGATTGTAGTGTGTGTAGTTTTTAGGTTCACCAATTACTGTGCATCTTGAAAATGAAGAAAAGAATAGCTGATCTGAACCCTACAGCATTTTCCTAGAAGAAAAGGTTTGAAAACATGCATGCAAGTGCTAATGGTGAGATTGTTTTTATAGAATTATGGAACTAGTTCAGTTTCTTTGGACAAACTGGGACTCAGTGAGCTAACTCCAGGGCCAGTTACATGGAATGTGGAAGTTTTTGTCCAGGCTTTGAAGGAATTGGTAAGTGCTGGAAAAGCAGACAATTGATGATGTTATTCATGGGTGGTTTAGGAGCCGAGGCTCCGCCCCCTCTTTTTGGATGTTACCTACATGTAAAGAAGGTACATGTAACTTGCCATCTTTCAAATATAGTTATATTATTTTTTCATCCTTAAGATTCCTTTATTAAGTTGGCGTCAAGTGATTCAGGAGTTGGACTACCCTGAGTTTCATGTTGCAACTCGTGAAGGGCTTCAGTTGCTATTTACAGCCTGTCACAGGGGATTGATGGAGATTTTTCCAGTGGATGTTCTCTACAGGACATGGACTAACACTGAAGGCCAGGTAAACTGAGGCTATTTTGGTATACATAGAAGTTTGCACTTAGAGTAGCTGTGAAACAGTTGACACATGTGCAGCAAGAATGGGGTAGGATGCAAATTCAACCTCGTGTCCAGTTGCAATGCCATGTGGGGACAAACCTTGTGACAACATTTTTGAGTTTCAAGTATACATGGACAGTGCTTTATTTTTCTTGCAACATGCAGTATGTATGACTACTTAAACTTTAAGCGAATTGAAATATCGAAGGTTAGGTGCCAGTAACAGAGAGGAAGAGCAGCAATCTCCTCTGCAATAAGGAGGTCCCCATGGCAGTCCAGACACAGTCCACCAGGCACCTGTCAACACAACACTGGTGAAACTGTGTGTGGAAAAAAGTGGGAGAGAGAGAGAGGGGAAACCAAACAATGAAGCCAGCAAGCAAGCAGTACACGGCAAGCAAAGCACATACGGCATGCACAACCCTATAGTAACTTATAGGAACCCTATAGTAATGTAAGGTTGGCAAAAATAACTGAATTCCATCTAAGCATTGGCTCTCAGAAAGGAAATGGGTGACCACACACAGCAAAGAAACCATCCTTTTGACCTTGGTGGGATTCCAACCTATTCTCTACTGACTGAGCTATGAACCCAAGGGGCTTTTATATTGTGAATAGCACTGACTTAGAGTCCTGTCCGACTTTAAGTGGTATTGAATTTAGGTCAATACTTACCATCCATAGGACATCAGGAGTGCTGTAATTATCTTCTTTCAAAGCTAATTTGAACATCTTTCATTTTCCCCATTTCAGCTTTCCTGGATCCAACAAATCTTGTCCAGTCCAGATTTGTTCTGTTTTGCTGACTACCCTTGTCACACAGTAGTGATAGACTTGCTGAAAACAGCACCAGAAGATGATAACAGAGAAATTGCCACATGGTAACCACTGTTCAGTAACTCATAAGCTCATAAGTCTTTTAAAGTTCCCCAGTGAGTTGTCTGTGGAGCACAAAGTCTAAGTACAAAGAAAGTAGGCTGAAAACAGTTCACTTATAACTAATTGTTTTTGCTTCGGGAAAAGCATTTTATGAAAATGAAAATACAGGAAAGAGGAATGGAAGATGTTGGAAACACCTTAGCCTGCAGAACAGACGTAATTTTTTTTGCGTATTTTAGACAAACAGAGGTGAAAGGGAGACGAGTGCGAGTCGCGCGCGAGTGGGAGAGTGAGAAAAAATAACACCTGTACGCATACCATTGTTCAAGCTGTTCCGCCCCCAGACACACCCTAAATGACCAGCCAATCACTGTGTTACAAAAGCAGTGGTAATCCTGTTGTTTTGTGGGCCAAATCTACAAACTTCCAAGGTCTTGTTTTCATCCCTAAAACGGAGAAATTACTTCTTTGGGATTTAAAATGGAAAGGAAAAACACAAATCAATGTTTAGGTGGCCTCAGACTGGAATGTCAAGGTGTACAGAGTCCTCAAACCTTTCTGGTGAAGAATTTTTCCTTCAACCACTGTGAAAGCATGACAATCGGTGCGCTTTCAAGTGAGTTTTGATAACAGATTGTGGATTTAAAGCAGCTTCCTGCACTTAAGAAAGCAAAAATAGTAATGTGCAGTATTACTTGGAAGTTGAATTCAACTTCTGGAATGATGGGTAAGGCCACAGCTGATAAAATGACTACAAAAGTTGTCAGTAAAAACTCAATCTTTCGCTTTAGTGTGAGAATTTATTTGAACATGGATTTCTGCATAATTGATTTATGGGGACCTCCACGGTTTGTTTGTTTAGTTTTTTCGCTTCGTTCAAATATATTTGTTTGAGTCTTATCCAGCTATTACAGAACTCCTGAGAAAAGAACTAAGTGGGCACTAATTTAACACGGTTGAAATTTGATTCACCTTAATAAAACTGGCTTGTTTTCTTGTCTTTTTGATTGTCATTCACTGCACTGTATTATTTTCAACGCACAGCCAAGAAATTATCTGATTTCTTGTTGTGAAGTAAAGTGTTGACAGGCCAGACACGACTCATAAGCTTGTGGCGTGAAGAGTGACCTCTAGTTATAGTGACCTCTCGTTATAGTTTTGCTCTCACAAGTATCTCTTAAAGATTTTCCTTTTTTATATGGGATAAGACGAGGTTCTTTGAATATTTCTCTAAGCAATGGTTGGTTTTGAATTAAATGCCATTTGCTCAGCAAGATGTTTTTGAAGTTAGGCAACGTTAGGTGGTATGTTGTTACAAAAGGCAGAATTTNTCTCTAAGCAATGGTTGGTTTTGAATTAAATGCCATTTGCTCAGCAAGATGTTTTTGAAGTTAGGCAACGTTAGGTGGTATGTTGTTACAAAAGGCAGAATTTTTGTTGTAAAGCCGACTTCCATTCAGTGAATTTGACCTCAGAGGTTATTTTTATGATGCAATTGCCATGTTGTATTTGAAAAACATTTGAGGATCACGTGATGTAATGCCAGAACAGCTTGAACAATGGTATGTGTACAGATGTTATTTTTTTCGCGTTCTTCCCCTCACGTGCGACTTACGCTTCGCGCTTGCCTCCCTTTCTCCTCTGTTCACCTAAAATACGCAAAAAAAAATTACGCCTGTTCTGCAGGCTGAAACACCTAGTACATAGTACAGTAACCCAGTACATATTTCATGCTAAAAATACAATATCTGAAATCCCCATACTTGTACATGTACTGGATGTATGAACATTTGTTATCATTATTATTATTTTTTAATTTAATGTTTGTAACAGCATTATAAATCTTGCAGGAAATCTCTCAACCTCTCAGAAACCCTTTTAAGGTTAGCAGAAGCTGGTCATTATGAGACAGTGAAATCCTTGTTCAGTTTTCCTCTTAAGCAATGCCCTGATGTGCTGCTACTTGCTTTACTGCAGATCAATGTAAGTAATAAAACAGATTTTGTAGATTACTTGTTATAAACCATCTCTTGTGATATAGCCATTTCTGCATTGATAACTTCCCTTGGATTACATCAGTCGTAAATAGACTTATTTCTGTTTTATTCTTTCTGCACAGCCTCTGTGGCATTCATTACGGAATGAGCTTGTGTCACAACTCATCCCTGTGTTCTTGGCCAACCATCCCAACTCTGGCAGTGTTTTACATTATGTGTGGCATGGACAGGTATGTAACAAGTTAAAAGACTCAAGAATGTTTTTTTTAAATTTTTTTTTTTTTATGAAGTAGGGTAAGGTAATGACAGCCATATGTAAAGTGTTCTCAAATGCTGAAATCTCTATCTTTGGGGGATGACTTTTTGTTCACTGTAAACAAATGTCGCTCACTATTTGTTTACACCATTAAGATTGCTGTGATGATGATGTTAAATGTTGATGTTAAAAACTGGCATTTCATTCACAAAAGTTCCTCCTCTGCTGCCCAATTATCCATCTGTCTGTCGGTCTGTCCATCCTGTCCAGCCATCTTTTCCAGAATCCTGCCTCACTCTGTCTTCTATGATACTATCAGTGTTGTGCTTTTTCTTAAATTCTAGGCAGACTGTGGCCAAAAATTGCCAAGATGTTGCTGCTTAGCTTTCAATTTGTGTCTGTGACTCCTTCCACTAGTGATATTGAAAGCACTACTGTTGATATACAGTGTAATGTTTTTACTTATTGTAGGGTCAGTCAGCATCAATTCGTCAACTTGTGATGCAGGCCATGGCAGAATGGTATGTGAAAGGAGACATGGACCAAGGAAGACTGTCCAGAATCTTAGATGTTGCTCAAGACCTTAAGGCANACCTTAATAAGTCTAGTCACTTTCTAACAAACATCAAATTTATTACACTTCGTGGATGAAACCCATGCATGTGACCATTCAAGTAGAGGCTACTGTCTTTCTTTTTCATGCAGTATTGTTTATTATTCTGTGTAACAAAGGTCTAACGTAACAATTTCGCAGAAAAAAGTCAAGTATGCGACCATTCATATGTGGTGCTGTTTCGTATGTTGTACAAGGATGATGCACTACTTGGGTGCTCTTTGGAATGCATTTGAGTATGTTCATCATCATAGGAGGCAAACATCACCTAATAATCCTTTGAAGTCCTAAGTTAAAATATTAGGTCACATAACTGATTTTAAGAAATTTAACTTAAGTCTTTTTTTGTTTTCCAGCTTGATCCATTGACAGGACTGAACATTCCCTCATCCTCACTGCCACCCACACCAGCCACACCGACGACCCAGCTACCCTCCTTCCCACCCCATCCTCTCACTGGCACTGTACTGGGACCATCAAACAACCTAGGAGCTGTTGGTAGCATAGGCTCAGGTCTGTCACAGGCAGTACAGAAGCCACAATCTCAGCTCGGACAGCTTCCTCTTACCATGCCAGCCACTTCAAGTTCTGGTATGCAGTCGCCAAGTTTCAGCTCCTCTCAGAACCCCTTGTTGCAACAATTTCACCAAGCAAGTGGGCTAGGACAATCACTTGGTGGATCAGCAATGGACAATGCTAGGTTATTGGCTGGTCTTGGCATTCACAAACAGCTTGGGGGCTCTTTATTGCAACAGCAACAACAACAGCAACAGCAAACAGCACTCTTGTCCCAGTCTAGGAATCAAGCTGACAAACTGCGTCAAGGTAAGACAGCACGAGACAAACACTTTCAGCTCAAGAGTATGACATGGATGAAGTAAGAAAAACGGGCCAACCGGCCCATCAGGCTGGTGCTTATCTCCGGTTTCAGTAGCATGAAGCAACTAAGAGTATTTCTACTCCCCCCTGGATGGGATGTTTGCCCATTGCGGTGTTACCCCCCAGCATTAAATTTGCCAGTTCCTAATTATACACGTAGGTGTAGAGAGGCACTATGAGAGTAAATTTTCTTACCCAAGAACACAACACAATGTCCTTAGCCAGGGCTCAAACCCAGACTGCTCAATCTGGAGACGAGCACGCTAACCGTGAGGCCTACGGCACCTCCACACATGGCTGAAGTATCATCAGTTTATTCTAGCACCAGACAGTGTTGACTGATGTCCAGTTTGGTTTTGATATGTCACTTTACCAACTCTGCCACAGGAAGCTAAAGTTGCTCTCGGCTGTTCCTCAAGCAACTCTGCTGGGTCTTTCATGCTCTCCAAACTTCCTGCATGCATCATATTTCAGTCATGCGTACTGAGAGCATGAATCGTTCATTGTTAACTGATTAAGATTAAGGAAACTTCAGCTTGAAGTGTTGTAGTTTTATACTTTGCACTACGTATACTTTTGTTAACTCCTGTTATCAGCTTCCACAGCAGATGTATCTCAAGTGTGGCCAGGTATGGACCAGTCATTTACAAAAGAGGTGGAAGATGAGGCAAACTCGTACTTCCAGAGGATTTACAATCACCCACCAAATCCCACTATCAGTATTGATGAGGTGCTGGAGATGCTGAAGAAATTCAAAGATTCACCTGTAAAAAAGGAGAGGGTAAGTAACAGTAGCATACAGCTGAAGAAAAAAATATTTTTTTGTTTTACACCAAGACAAAGGATTATACATGTACATTGCACAAGATTTCTTTTCAAATGCTAGGAACACTTCAACTTTTTACCAACTAATGATCTTTGCCTCTGCTTGCCCCCCCCCCCCCCCC